CCCCGCCCCCGCCCCTGCACACCTGGAAGAGTGGCTTCCTTTGCCAATATGACATCTTCCTCTTGTTCTGAACTGAATGGCTTTATTTCCACAGTTGGCTGATTTCCCTGCTTCCATTAACTCCACACTGTAGTCCACCCTTCACTTGCTACAAACTTCTCTTGTGAGCAAATGAGAGACATATCTGGTCCAAATGATATAGGCACTGAAGGCCCTCGGCATTCTAGTGAGCACATGGTTGTGTTCTTTCCAAAACACACTCATGGGTTTTCTATGGCTCTTTCTCCTTCTAACCCTCACTCTTACTGATTCACTCAACCAGGATCGTCTATTCCTCAAGACCTCACCTTGACACACATTTCTTGCATTGTGAGTGGTTTGGCATTCCCATTCCGTATCAAGCTGAATGAGCTTATTGCCTAGGATAATAAATGATCAAGAGCGTATCTATTGAGATTGTTACCGAGTTCTTGGTGGTGGCCTGTGCTATGCTGCCTGCCTGTGCTGCAGATGTAGGCATAGCTTAAAGTAAATACCATTGGCTCCACCAGGGCTCTGAGCACTGATGAGTAGTCAAGTGTGTGCTTCATCCTGAAGTCCTAGAAGAATCCCAGAGATGGGTGGTCTTGAAGAATGACAAAATATAAAGCTATGAATGATGACACTCAATATGAAGAACCCTTGCTGGAGTATCTGCAAGAATCAACCCTCTGGAGCGTGGCATAAGAAACGTTTCAATCGCTGCCCCTTTTTATAAATTTATGCAAGTCTGAACCATATGGCAGTATTACTTTTTTTTTTTTTTTTTTTTTTTTTGGTTTTTTGAGACAGGGTTTCTCTGTGGCTTTGGAGGCTGTCCTGGAACTAGCTCTTGTAGACCAGGCTGGTCTCGAATTCACAGAGATCAGCCTGCCTCTGCCTCCCAAGTGCTGGGACTAAAGGCGTGCACCCCCCCCGCCTGGCTTTTTTTTTTTTAATTAATTTATTTATTTATTTGTTTGTTTTCAGTATTACCTATTTTAAAATCAGGAAAAATACTGACAATAAATGAAATGGGTTGCATTTGAAATGAGAAATGGATTTCCTGGAAGTGAAATTTAACTCGAGAAATCATTATTTTAAGTAAAATTTGAAAACATACCTTTCAAATTATGAGGGGGAAAGTGCCTTCCTAGCGGTGGGGGGAGGGGCACTACAAACCAAAAAAATAGAAAAATTATAAGGGAAAAGTAATACTGGTTTGATACAATGCTATGGCAACACTGTCAAACACCTGAGGGTAATGTATAGTTCTAAAATAATAGTAGTTTAAAGCCTGTCTCTTCAGCAGGTTTCATTTTTTTTTGTATGTGCACTTAAAATGCAGATAATTTCAAATGGAGTTTTCAGCAATGAGCGCCTTTTGTAAAGTAGCTAGGTAATGATTCACTGAGTTCATTATATCTCTAACAACCAACTGAAATAATCCAAATGAGTCTCAGTCTCCAGACTCCGCAGAAGCCTTGAGTATGGATCTTCAGACACAGCCGTTCTTTAATGGCCTATGGATCTGGCTGATACTCAGAGTTTACAGTTTTCTTTATTACTATAGGAAAACAAAACCCAGAGAATTCCTATTAACACCAAGTAGGTTGAGTTCCATAGACAGGCCAGTTGTCCCAAGATATATCCCTGTGTGCCTATCAAATCTTCAGACTGGCAATTCTCAGTAAGCAAGCACACAGTCGCATCCATCCAAGCTTCCTTCTTTCAGCTTGGAAAGCAGAGTCTGCAATGTGTACTCATAGAAACTTGACATTTCCCTTTTTATGTAATTCTCCTGGTTTTTAATTTCCTTTTCTTAAAAGCTTTTTCTGAAAAAATAGATTCAGGAAGTGGATCCCTGCCTCCTGTAGGGTTTTCTAAACAAATGTTTTTAAGTTTGGGAAAACCTGTTTCTTTTTCTCCCCCTCTGTAGCTTTTCACCATTTGAGAATCGACACAAAGTCAGTAGAGATTAAAAAAAAGTCTAATTTTTCCAAGCTTTCTGGCCTCACTGTTGAGAGGTTCTTTTCCCATCTTTCCCTCGTATTTTCATTAGTCCACACATTTCAAAAATGAGCTCCACATGGCTTCTCTTTTCCCTAGCTCACAAATGATGAAGAAATCCATAATGTGGGAACATCTTTGACCTTTGGGTTTGGCACATTGACCTGCTGGATACAGGCTGCATTGACACTCAAAGTCAATATCAAGAATGAAGGACGGAGAGTTGGAATTCCACGAGTCATCCTGTCAGCTGTTATCACTCTCTGTGTAGTCCTGTGTATCCTTTAAAGGCTCTTTGCCAGGGACAATAGAACACAGGTAAGTTTTATATGCAGAAGGAGAGACTATTACCCTCCCTGGTGTGTAGAAAAACTGTCAGATCAAAGAGTGTCAAACCAAAATGCCATAATGAATCTATCACTTTGTATGCTAGCTTTAAAAATGAATAGCCGGGAGCTAAGAGATGACCTGGTGGTCAAGAGCGGGACTGCTCTTATGGAGGACTGGAGTTTGATTTCCAGTACCTGCATGATAACTCCAGATAAAGGGTATCCAACATCTGCTTCTGACCTCCTCAGGTACTGGGCACACTAGGGGAATACATACATACTTGTAGACAAAACACTCATACACAAAAAAAAAAACAAAAATCTTTTAAGAATAAATAAATTAAAACTAATAGGTATGGTGGAGCACAGGTGTAATCCCAGAACCTGGCAGGTGAAGTCAAGAGAATTGAGAATTTAAGATCATCCTTGGCTACATGGTGAGTTCAAGGCTACATTGACTACATCAAACCCTGTCTCAAAAATAAAAGTAACTTAAATTTTTTTTTTAAAGTATAAAATCGGGGGCTGGAAAGATGGCTCAGAGGTTAAAAGCACTGATTGCTCTTCCAGAGGTCCTAAGTTCAATTCCCAACAACCGCATGGTGGCTCACAACCATCTGTCATGAGATTTGGTGCCCTCTTCTGGCCTGAAGGGATACATGGAGGTAGAATGTTGTATACATAATAAATAAATCTTAAAAATAAAGTATAAAATCAGATTTTTACTGAAATCAGTAAAAAATAAAAATCAGCTTTTTGGCCAGGCGTTGGTGGCCCATGCCTTTAATCCCAGCACTTGGGAGGTAGAGGCAGGCGGATCTTTGTGAGTTCAAGGCCAGCCTGGTCTAGAGCGAGTGCCAGGATAGGCTCCAAAGCTACACAGAGAAACCCTCTCTCAAAAAACCAAAATAAAATAAAATAAATCAGCTTTTATTCCTAGTAATCTGGGGAATAATGGCTCAGGCCCCATCCACACCCTGAGGTCACCTCACCTGCCCATTAACAAGCAGAAGAAAGGGAAAGCCTTACTCTCTTAAACCCCAGACAAGTCCCACTGCTAGCTAGCACAGGGCTCAGTGACACCACCAGTAACCTGGCCCAGGAGAAGTTGCCACTTCCCATCTGTGTTGGTCCCTTTTCTGTTGCCTATGATAAAATTCCCTAACCAGAAGCAACTTAGAAGATGAAAGGGTTTGTTTTAGCTTACGGATCCAGAGGGTTAGGGTTCATCATGACAGAGAAGGCATGGCAACAGACAGGAAAACCATGATGGCTGGAGCAGGAAGCTGGCTGTTCACACTGTCACCCATACATAGGAAACAGAAAGAACAGAAGCAGGCAAAGCTATAGACCTTCGAAGCCTGCACTCAGTAACATACTCCCTGCAGCAAGACTCCATCTTCTAAGAGTTCTGTAACCTCCCAAAAAGACCAACTGGGGATGGAGTTTTCCAGTGCATGAGCCTATGGTTGGCATTTCTCATTCAAGCCACCACCCACCCCAAACCACCTGTCAGTTACCCAGTGCACAGAGCAGATGAAAAAGGAATCAGCCTTTATTCCTAGTAAGCTGGGAGGAATGGCTCAGGCTCATCTATACCCTATGGTAACCGGTATTTACTCACAGGTTATCCTTAGAAACCAGAAGAAAGGGAGTCGTGCTTCCTACGTGGCCAAGCACAGCTAACAGTTACACGCCTCGGTGATAGTAACCGCCAGTGTTTGCTGGGCATTTATTATGTCTTGCCATCATTGTAAGCACTCAAAATGCATTGATTCTTTTAATTATAGGTTGAGATTTGAAGGTAAGTTAATCTGTCCAGGATGACAAAGATTGTAGCAACCTGATCAAATATGATCAAAGAAATTAAAGTTGCCATTTCCCCAGCGAGTTAGCACTGGTGATGCTTTCTACCCTCAGTCAAAAGATTGTGCACAGACTTGCAGTGACTCTGGGCTGTCAGCCCATGGTTCCAATCCTATTGCATCTGAACATTTGGAAGCCTTAATTGGTATCTGGGTTTCCTGCATCCAGGTTCAGTCAAGGGACCAAAGTTTGCCTGACTTAACTCCACCTGTCCTTTTATTCTCTGAAAGTCCCTGAAGATTTTAGGTCTGTGATTTAAAGATAGAACACAGACACAAGTTCTCAGATGTCTGGGGATGTATCTGATTTTTCTGTATAAGTGTTTTTGGTTTTCAGACTCTTCAGAGTTCACTAAAATATGCTATGAGCTTTTTGCTTTTAGCTCCGATGCTTCCATATACACAATCACATGTATGTGCACATACACTATATATATTACATATGTGCATTTCTTTTATATAGGTGTATATATAGGAATAGGACCATCATGATTTTTATTAGCATTTGTGACTTTTTTAAAGAAGTTTTTAATTTATTTATTTTTATGTGTGTGGCTGTTTTGCCTACATGTATGTGTACGACATTTGTGTCTGGTTTCCTTGGAGTTCAGAAGACAGAGTCATCTCCTGGTACTAGAATTGTGGATGGCTCTGAGCCATTGTGTGGGTGCTGGAAACAATATAATAATGGGCTTAGTAGGGCTGGAAAGATGGCTTGGTGTGGCTAAGAGCCCAGGACCTGAGTTCAGTTCCCAGAATGCACTTGGTGGCTCACAACAATTCATAATTCCAGTTCATGGTGCTACATCACCCTGTTCTGACCATGCAAGTAGTACACATATACACATGCTCACCAGGTAAAATGCATACTTCTTCACATGTGAAGTAAAATGAATCTGTTTAATTTTAAAATTAAAAAGATAACAGGCTTCATTATGGCATTTCATGTATACATAATATATTTTGATCATATTAACCCCTTTTTAGCCCTTTGTCCCTTCCTACTTTTGTGAACCATTTTGTTTTGAGACAAGTTTTCATATAGTACAGCATGACCTCAAACTCACTGTATAATGTTATCCATGAAGCCTGGGTCCTCCTGCCTCTGCTCCCCAAGTGCTGGGGTTACAGGCATATAGCAGTCACTGTATAGATAGGGTAACCAAGTTCTGGGTTACATGTATACACCACTCACTGTGTAGATAAAGTGACCAAATACTGAGGTTACTGGCATACACCACAATACTGGGCTCACTAAGACTTTTTAAGTTGCTTTTCTGCATTTGGTCACAAATGAGACTAACCTATATAGTATCACCTAAAAGAAGAGCAAAGGGGTCATGTTAGCATTGTGACAAAAACACTGTTGTATGGAAGTAGCTGTGATTTGAAATGTTCAGCGGAGTAGCAGTTCAGTTGCTACTCACATTTAATCAGGCAGGTGTAGAGTTCAGTGGCTGATTCATGGTCAAGGTGTTTATGCATATCTACCAATTCATATCTGTGTGAGAATGACTGCAGGCAAGTTACCTACTTGGCCTCAGTTTCTTGACTGTCTCTAAAACAGTGATGATAGGATCACTGTGGGGTTGAAGGGATTATCTGTGAAGACATCTAGAAATATACCCAACACAGCACACAACTCAACGTTATCTGATACTGCATGCAAATACCAGGTCCCAGCTAGCTCTGTCGAGTTAATCTTGAGCATGGCCCTGGCTACAGCTTTGCCAGTGATGGGGAGACTGACGTCTGATTACCTTCCTTGACCACTGCTCCGCAGACTTCATCCTCATGGCCCAAGATATCCACATGTATGCAGCCAGGGTCCAATGGGGCCTGGTCATGTGCTTCCTATCATACTTCGGTACCCTGGCTGTGGAGTTCCGGCACTACCGCTATGAGATTGTGTGCTCCGAGTACCAGGAGAACTTCCTGAGCTTCTCAGAGAGCCTGTCAGAAGCTTCTGAATATCAAACCGACCAGGTGTAACCCATCAGTTTGTCCTTGGGGGCGTGGTGGGTGTGGCAGGGAGGGGCCAGGAGGATACACTCACGGGACTTGACACATTGCCTCATGACACGTTTCACACACAGGGGCACATATTCGTGGCCACATTTGCCAAAAGAGCTTTTCAGGGCAGGTTATTTCTTTCATGAAAAGCACAAGCCCTCGTGTGGAAATACACACTATCACACTGAACACATATGCACGACAGAGCCAGGAGCTTGTACATGATCACCTCCCTGTCCCACCCTCATCTTCTTCATGTTTAGAACCTGGCATCTTCCTCCAGCAGAGTATGGCAGGCTGGATGTAACATAAGAATGATACCAACTCCATAAGTCACCTTCAGGTCATAAGGGCCTGGAGTGAGCTTGTTGGGAGCTGTGGCTCTGGTACCAATGTTCTTGAGTGGACACCAAAGTAACATCTGTCAGAATGCACAATTGAAGCCGTGACTGTGGCCCCTGAGAGGCGTGGGTAGAGCATTCCCGCCAGGCTGCCTTCACCACTGTTCAGCGGTTGGTTTTGTGGATCCAGTGAAAGGAACACACTGCAGAGTGCACTCGTGGGTAAGAGGCCCACCATCGGTGTTTGGACTTGACTCACTCTGCCTGAGAAAGGTCTCCAAACACGAATGTTCACAGGGATTGTCTGCCACGTACAGCCGAGAAGGCATGGTATAGTTTTTGCTTCCACACTGTGGCATGCACAATTCTGGTTTTATAGCTCATGGCTTGCCTTTTCCTTTCTTTAATGCAACTCTCATGGGTGTCTGTAGGCCTCACAAAGATGTGGACCAAAGGCAAGAACCTTGTTTTGGATTCAGTTATGACAGGGGGTGATACCTACAGACTTATGTTTGAAGGGGGTTAAAAGGGTTCTCAAAGAAGCACAAGGAAATCTGCATGGGGGTGGGATTGTGGGTGACGAGGTATGATGGCACCTGTGGGCTTTGAGGAATGACAGATGGGAGGCTAGAATGTTTGCTGTAAATCAAGCCAGGAGAGACTTTCATATACATGTGTTCCCCAAATCTGATTGTCCCGGGACTGAGGAGTTTTCAAATTTGGAATTTATAGAATCTAATTAAAATATCGCCCTCCCCGGGATGGAGAGATGGCTCAGAGGTTAAGAGCACTGACTGCTCTTCCAGAGGTACTGAGTTCAATTCCCAGCAACCATATGATGGCTCACAACCATCCTTTATGAGATCTGTTGCCCTTTTCTGGTGTGCAGATATACATGGAAGCAGAATGTTGTATGCATAATAAATAAAATCTTAAAAAAAATAATATTCTTTCCCTTAAAAAAAAAAAATATCGCCCTCCCCAAAACCACATTGGCACAAATAGAGCCAATGAATCTCTCACTTGCTACAAGTTCAGAAGTGAGCTCATAAACAAACAAGTACAAGGCTATCCTAGATCCCTTGTGTCAACCGGATGTGTCAAGTGCACCACCACCACCACCCCAAGCAAGTGTACTGTTTCAAGAAATCCCCAAATTCATAGGGGCCTGGGGTACCCCAGAACATAATGTGAAGAATGCTATTTTGTAAATTCAACCCAAAGCGTAGCTTCCCAAGGAGGGGTCCAAATGTTGTTTCATCTAAATCTCTACCCCCAGCACAGTGCCTGGCACACAGTAGTTGCTTAGTAAATTTCCACTGAATAGGTTGTTTATGAGCAGAGGTAAAAAATATCAAAGAGATTTGAAAGTGAGTGACAGAGTACAGAAGGTGTCTCAAGTGAGGAAAGAGAGGAAGAGAACCGGGTAGGACTCCCTCGATGGTGGCAATGAGGGGCCTCAGCAGAGTGTCTCTTATTAAAAAGGTATCTACTGTAAATAGTACAGGGTGACATCTTGGTTTTAAAATTGCTTTGGGCTTCTTTCTTTTTTATATTTTAAAGATTTTATCAAACACATTTTTATTTGACTCTACACACTCCAAACAGTGTTTGATGACCCACCTGTCTGCTGTCTGCAGAGTGTATGTAACAGCCCATCTTAGCAGAATCAAGCAAAGACTGCCATTACTCATTGGGATCTGGCCACTAAATAAAAGTTGTTTTATGCAAAATTGTGACTTCCTTGTTTCTGACACTAACAGTTCTTTGTGGGTGTGTGTATGCACAGTCATGTGGCTGTTAACAGTGTGCAGACGCTGTCTTTATGTTTGCTGTTTTATTATGAAGGATACAACTCAGGATCAGGCAAATGGGAGAGGTTCATGGGAAGAGGACAACGACTAGGGGCCCACTCCCATGTCCTCAGAACATTCCACTCTCCCAGTTCCCCAAAGTGTTCCTCAGCCTGGAAGCCATCTACAGCTCACAGCTCAGGAGCAGTGTAATAGCTCTCCATCCCCCAACTATCCCTCCCACCTCCCAGAGGTACTTGAGGTAATCAGCCCTCATCCTGAAGTTACCTCAGCAGCATGAACTCTGGTATAACCAGAAGAAGTTCATTATGAATAAAACAGTACTGTTATATCCTAAGGGTGTTAGGATTTCCATGCCAGGAGTAGAGACAAAAGCCAAACATCTTATTTGAGAAAATGTTTTCATACAATAAAATTTTATCATATTATTTCTCCTCCCCAACTCCTCCTAGGTCTTCTCCGCCTCCATACTCATCCAATTTCTCTCTCTGAACAAAAAGATAAAACCAAAACAAATGAAAAAGAAAAACCAGTAAGACAAAAAAACAAAAAACTCACAAAGAACATGTTTTTTCCTGGAGAATGGGAAGGGGCAGGATCTCCTAAGCTAATTGGGAGCATGAGGGTAGGGGAGAGGGAGCTGCCAGAATGAGAGGAGGAGAGGAGGAAATGGAGGAGCAGAAAGGTTGAGTGGGGGGAAGAATAGAGGAGAGCAGGATGAGAGATACCATATCAGAGGGAGCCATTATAGGTCAGAGGAGAGATCTGGCACTAGGGAGATTTCCAGAAATCTACAAGGATGACACGAACTGACAATCTAGGCAATGGTGGAAATAACCTAAATGCCCTTCCCCTATAATGAGACTGATGACTACTTTTTATCCCATCCTAGAGCCCTCATCCAGTGGCTGATGCAAACAGAGGCAGACACCCACAGATATGCACTGAACTAAACTCTGGAACTCAGTTGCAGAGAGGGAGGAATGAAGATCAAAGGGGTCAGGACCAGGCTCTCGAAACCAACAGAAACAGCTGGCCTGAACAAGGGGGAGCACATGGACCCAGACTGCTATCTGGGAGGCCAGCAGGGACTGATCCAGACCCCTGAACGTGGATGTCAATGAGGAGGCCTCTGCACTCTATAGGGCCCCTGGTAGTGGATTAGCAGTTTTCCCTGGTGTAAGAAGGGACTTTGAGAGCCCATCCCACGTGAAGGGATGCTTTCTTGGCCTGGACACATGGGGGAGGGCCTTACCCTCCCTGGGGAGTGGAGGGGGTAAGGGGTGAGGGCTGGTGGGGAGAAGAGGGAGAGGGAGAAGGGATTGACATGTGAAGCAAGCTTGTTCCTAATTTGACCTAATAAAAAGAAAAAAAGGAAAAAAAAGGTAACCTGGGGAGGAAAGGATGTTTCAAGAAAGACAGAGCAGGGGATAAGAAAAAAAAACATGTTTTTTTCTGTGTGTTAGCCAACTACTGTGAGCATGGTTGATACACGCAGTGACACTCCATTTCAGAAAACTGGTTTCCTGTTTCCAAGCAGGTACCAATTACAAGTAACTTCATGGCTAGGGTTGGGACTTTGTGTCCATTTTCCCTTCTTGGTGCTGGGATTTTGTCTGACTTGAACCCATGTGTGTACTATCACCATCTCTCTGCGTTGCAAAGATGTCTGCATCGCCCCTTTTTTTTTTTTTTTTTTTTTTTTT